CCAACTCATTAAAAAAGTACTACCATTGTAAGAATGTCACACTCTTCCTTTACATAATGAATAATTACATCCTATCTAATGATTCACATTTCCAACGGTGCCGCATTTAGCATCCACATTAGGGTGGGGAAATTATCTTTATCCAAACTACATACTTTAGTTAGCTCTTTATACATAATAATAAGCTGCAAATTTCCCAAGTAGTTACTCGATTTAAGATAGGAATTCATATAAGTTCCAATTAGAATATATCATGGATATGTAACACACAATTCGCATATCATATTACCTGATGTTAGCCATGCGTAACTGAATATCGTAACAAATTAGATTTAGAATACTTCCAATACAGAAACATGTTAATATTTCATAATAGAACGACGTTGAATAGAATGGAAACTGTCCCTGTGTAAACGTGTATGCTAAACAGTCTGATAATTTATTTTCTAGTAATATGACTAATTACAATTCTGGTACATATAATTAAAAATTGGCGTTTGTTAAATATGATGTTATAATTATTTTAACAGTATAATTTGTGTGTTTAACAAAACACTATAAAAATAGTATGGGGTCGATATAAAACACATGTATTGTTAGTTTCAAACAACAAATTATTGCATTCAAGATCTTCTATTGTTCGATTTCTTTTTTGAGCGGACGTGCAAAGATTGGGATGTTTTGAACTATCTTGTCAGTTTATACATAAATCGTTTACTATAATATTTTGTATTGTATGAAACTGTTTGTGTATTATTTATTTTAGTATTTTGTAAGTAATTAAATGTTCTTGTGCATATATCGCGCAGTTTGTTTTACAGTGACATGTTAAGGAGTGGCTTATTCAGAAGAGCGCCATCTGTTCTTCAAAAAACAACTTTTTTTTCAAATCGTATTGTTTACCGGAACTTTTGAAATGAACCTTTCATATCAGTATAGGCAAATATTAAGAAACAATTTAACTTCTAAAGTAGCGTTGTCATTCCTTCTATATGATATTTCCCAGTGATTATTTGACTTCAGATAAAAAGGCATTGTGTTACAAACCTTTTCACTTATCTTATCGAAAATTAATATAAAAGCAAAACAAACATTTAAGTAATTATATAAACAGGTATTTTTTCGTGTTACTTTGTGATATTCTAAATCTCACAATGCGCCTTGGATTTCCCATTCAATGGGAGATACATACCCTAAGACAATTATAAATATAACATTTTGAATAACGTTCCTATATGCTTACAGTTACTACCTCGATGTATACATCATCAAATCAACCCTCAGCAAAAATAACGGCATATATTGAGCCCACCACACTTGATATTGCAACAGAACCTGGTAAATAATACGATTATGCTTTCGATCAGTGTCGTTGAAAACGAACAAATAATAAACTTTACTTATATCTTTTTAATAAATGTAATTATTCGATATAAAAACACATTCACTTATGATATATTTGTTTCTTGTCAGCAACTACCTCGCAGCATATTACACCAGAAGAAAATAAACAAACTAACATTCCCGTCACTACTTCATCCGCAAATGTACTCACAACTGTGTCAGGTAAGCATGCAAATAGTGGTTTTTCGAACTAGAAAGAAAGTTCTACAATATATATACCTTTCAATCGCACTTGTGTTCAAAAGTGATGTTGATACTACTATACATTAATTAATTTTAAAACGTTAATAATAATATATTAACAACGGCCAAGTCACAGGATTTTTTTTGTCACAACTATCGAAAACATGTGATCAATGAGGTATGAAAATACGCCACGATTAATGTTACCATAAATAAGAGTCAACACAGTTTATTACAATGGTGAGTAGACCGAATGTAAATATAACGAAAATTGTAAATGTCCCGTCATTTAGAAATTGGACCGTGTTATTATCATGTGTAAATTATAGATACAAAATGTGTTGTAAATTTCCGTCCAAGTATGTATGTTCACTGTTCTAACTGCCACATAAGCTATATTTCTAAATCTTCTTGGATCTTCTTGCATTATTAGACATTTTGATTGAATTAAACTAATTATTCGTCCTTAAATACTGATAAATTATAACCAAATTATTACAGAATATATCACATTAAGTTTATTTTTTGCATTTTGTCGGCATTTAGTTTAGGAATTATAAATTACTAATTGCTTGTCCTTTTACTTTAATTTACCTAACAAAAGATACAAGTGAGTGTTACACAGACATAAACGGACGTGATTATCGCGGAACTGTACATGTTACACATCACGGTGAAGTTTGTCAGAAATGGACATCCCAGTTCCCTCACCAACATGCAGTAACTCCGGAAAACTATCCTAACACTGGCCTAGGAGATCATAATTATTGTCGAAATCCTGATGGTTGGCACACAGCTTGGTGTTACACAACCGATTTTGATGTAGTATGGCATGACTGTGATATTGGTCCAATGAAAGACAATTGTGGTATGTTTAAGCACAGATACTCATAGTGTCAACTGCCAATGGGGTGGGGTGAATCACCAAGGGTTAATCTATGTAAAACAGAACAAATAAGCATTATTAAATTCTTGTTTCCGTCACAAATTTTATTGTTTACAGTCACTACTACGAAGTATATTTCAGAGTCACCAACGATCGTTACTACATATATTCCACTCACTATAGCTGGTGTCACAACCGAACCCGGTAACTTTTTTGCGTTCTATCAGTAATATTGTGATACACGTATATGTTATTCAACTAATACCTTGTCGCATGCGCAGCTAGTATTATGGAATATGAATCATTCACACTTACAGGATATTTTGATAGATTTTAGAAAAAAAAATAAACAACAACGCATATATGTGAGAACTTTTCCGAGATGATCATTGTGTGTGCTTTCTTTTATCGAACCAAAACAGTTCAGAAGTTTCATGTATTATTTACAGTTGGATTTTCTGTTTCTCTTTTACATTGAAGACGTCATCACAACTACGACTCCTGTCGTCCGATCTACAATACAAATAGGTGACCTGACTTCCACTTTACCTGAGTTAACATCAATCAATACAACCATCGACAATCAAGGTAGGAATTATGAATGAAGGTAGTTTCAATGTATCACGAAATATTAGTGTGATAGACATATTGGTATTTGCTAATATTTGTATTCGTTTGAATTGCGATCACTAGTCACGTATTCACTTAGATAATTTTCACCAAATTATAATTAACATTTAAAGGTTTTAATATGTATCGATGGTATTTGACAATCGACTATGCAATTCACCATTATTTAGACTAAGAATGCACCATGGGATTGTTGTAACACGGCAAAACATGTATTTAAATGGTGAATTGAATTTATTGTGATATGAATGTGCCATTTTCAGCGTCCTGGCTTCACAATGCAAAGTAACTTTTTCTCAACATCTGGATTTTTTAGGTTCGAATGATTGCTATACACAAGCTGATGGTAGCGATTATCGAGGGAATGAGAACGCGACTCGACACGGAGATATTTGTCAAAAGTGGACAGATCAATCACCACATCATCACATCAGAACACCAACAAACTATCCTAACGCCGGTCTCGGAGATCATAATTATTGCAGAAATCCAGATGGGAAAGTTAAACCCTGGTGTTATACCACCAATCATTTAATACGATGGAGATACTGTGATGTTGGTGAGCCTGTTGGAACGTGTGGTATGTAAAACATTTGATTTGTTTGAACTAAAACATGAGTGTGAATCGTTTATTCAGTAGACTACTCATTTTTCTATTTAGCACTAATTAACAGATGCCATCTACATATATCTTTTAAATACTTATATCATTTTGAGAAATTGTATTGATTTGAAGTTTCAAATTTATACATTTATTAATACAATTATCATACAATTGAATATATATTTTTTTTTTATCTTTTAAAATCACTTCGATTAGTAATAATATTATAGTTGTGTTTGTACTAATGTTTGCAGTTAGTGACGAGATTTTGTTCAGTCACGCGCTATTTCATTCATGTGTCCGACTATCTCGCATTATTTATTATGTTATAATAAGATTAAATACGTTTCAAAAAAAATGAAAATGTGTTTTATGGTATGCTAAACTCTAACGTGTCTGGAGCTAGATGTATAATATTGAGTCAAATGCATACAGCATATATATTTATCACAATGTCACTGTTTTAAATTGCCACCCAGTACACTTCAATATATCAAAATGTGAGAATAATAAATAAATTGTGTATTTGGTATATCACTAGGTACAACGTCACAACCGCATTATACTACCGAGGAGCACACTGTGACAGTATTAGAGGCTACTATACAAACTGAAGGCATGTATTCGTGTTTATGTGTAAATGCATGGTTCAGATCAATTGTAGTATGTTTAGCTGATTGTCAATTGTGTTCCGACCTCAATCAGCAGTGTGATGAATAGGGAATTGAGTCGTGATGTATGATGATATAGTTAGTTATAGCATCTACTCAAACTAGTGTATTTTACCATCAATGACTAGCACCATTATTTTTTAACGTATTCTGGATTGCGTGACAATCAGATTACAAACCATGACGAATACGCAGTGTTTATATATTTTATGCAAATCCAAAACATAATTTAGAATAAAGATATCCGATGTATTCGCCAAGTTAAAGGTGTAATGATCCTTGTCACTTTGCATATGATATGCAAAGAACGCTTGATCATGAAATCATCGTTCACAATAATCGATAATATTGCGTTAGCCGTCTGATAAGCATATAATTACAAATATTACAGACTATGGGCGCTTGGAACCTCTTGAAAAATAAGCTTTACCTCTATGCGACCAATAATATATATTACCCTGAATTGTTTCATGTGAATAAGAATATATATGCATTCGTTTTGTATTGTTTTATATGCGATGAATAATATGATAACCATCTTTAAAATTAATAAGAATATTCCAATAAATTGAATTTCAAAAATTGCAAAATATATTAATTTACTTTCTAGGTATTCCAGCTACCACTGCTGAACCTAAATTAACGACTGAAGGTACGTATGTATAATGCTTATAAAGCTATACACTAAGTTAATACTAATCGTAAATGTATACTGTAATGCTATATGCTATATGCTATACACGATGAATACTTAGGTCCCATTTACGATTATGTCTGTGGCGCCAGATATTCGGTTTGTACATACTCATTAATCGCTGTTACTGCGTGTATATTGTAAGGTTATTACGAGAATACCTCAAAGTATGCACGAAAACAGTGCAGCTGGAGTATCGACCGACGCGCAGCGGAGTGCATACATTGAGTTATTCTCGTAATAACTTATTATTATACATTTTTTTCCTTCCAAAGATACACCATGGGAATGCCAATATTCGAAATGTTTAGCACAGAATCAGCGAACTTCTTTGTGTGGAGACCGGTCAAACCCTGGTGGCAGCCATGTTTGTTTTTATTGTCAGGAAACGCTTACGCGCGTAATCATTGCATTCGCATTTCCTAATATGGTAGGATGAAAATCCCCGTAAAATACCGCAAAATTACGGCACACTGTGCATACATGTAATAATACTAGACACTTATCGTAGACATCAGTTCAAATACAATGAGGTTTTGCACTATGTTGCATATTACAAGTGTACGCAATAATAACACGGGTCTAAGTTAGCACTACGTGATCACGACATGACATGTCATTCATAAGTCATTCTATTAACATACAGTATTTACGACACTATATTCATATTTATTCCAGG